AAAAATTTTTTTGTAATCCATGATAGAATTTTTTGAAAATTTGTGATTTTTTTTTTAATCCATGATTGATTTTTTTGAAAATTTGTTATTTTTTTTTTTTAATCCATATTATTCAAAGAGAAAATGAGAGAGATGATGATTCTGAGGCCACCCTATCCCAGCCATATTATTCACATATCGAGTCCCAACAGCAACAGTGTAGGGATGAGCACGACAGTGCAGGTGAGCATGAAGGATGGACAATTTTCGGGGATTTTAGATTGGGAACACAACAAAACACTAACACTCAGAGATTTGAGAATAGTCAGACGCCTGCTAATATCGATGATTCGTTTTTAGATCGAATTAATGAATTGTTAAACGAATTCAATCACTGGCACCAGCGTGACCAAGAAGAACAATAACGTCGTCTATCATTTTATTTTTAGATCATATGTTATTAATTTTATGCTTTATTGTAGTCCATGTATGTTGATATATTTATTCCATGATAATTATATGTTTATCCTTTTATGTGATGTAAATTAAATGCTGAATGGCGGTTCATGCAGGGAAAGAACATATCAATATTCGCATATTCATTCAAAAACATGAAAATTCTTAATGGAGTACCCTCATTTCTTATTGAATTCCTAAAAAACAATATTTATAATGAATTTTAATACTTTTTTCGGATTTTTTTTAAGCTTTATTCTGACCGATTCATCCGATTCCCGATCCGGATAGCCGATTCGTTGATCCGGATTAGTTTTTTGGAAGCTCGATCCGGGTCACCGATCCGTTTTTTAAACCATTGGTTTTAACTGATGAGCAATGTAGGTGGCTTGTTGCTGCGCCGTTGTCTTCTTAAGCGAAGGGATAGTTCATCTATCATAGATCTAAAAAGGCAGTTGATCAGGGCTTTTTGGTTGCTAAGCAGTGGTGGTGGAGACCTCCATTGTAGTGCAGTAGTGTGGTAGGCTTCCACTGTATTGGAAATTTTTAATGCTACACTAGTGTTTATGGATTAGGGGTGTTAATCCAACCGGGCCAACCCTGTGACTCGTCCAGGTTGGCCCCAATCCAAATGGCCTGGGTGTATGTTTGGCTTGACCCGATTCAGACCCCATCTGGTTACATAAATATGTAGGGTGGATCAAGCAACTCCACCCTGCCCCCAATCCAAATGGCCTGGGTCTGTGTTTGGCTTGACCCGATTCAGACCCCATCTGGTTACATAAATATGTAGGGTGGATCAAGCAAGTCCACCCCACATTAGACCTCCCCATCACTCGTTTTTCCATATAATTTTCTTAAAAGAATATCTCCTTATTAAGAGATTGATTACATGTTCTATTCTTGATCTCTATATCTAAGCAAATGCAATAAATTTATCTCTATCCCAAACTCGTAGGTGGTTGCTCGATTCATTAGGTCAGAAGTGTTAGGAGAGTAGGACTTTCATCTCATGTGTTTCCTAGTACTTCATATATCTTGATTTACTTTGACAGTAGTTATTTTCCAAATAAGGAATATATATTCATAATTTAAAATTTTGTGACATTTTTCGTATGTTAAATGAGTAGGACGCTTTCTAATCGTCTTTGAAAATCCCAATTCTTTTTGTGTCATAAATTCATTATAAATAAAATGGAAAAAGTCCATCTCTAAGAATTCTTGTTATGCTACACTCTATTTCAATGTCTGGGGGTCGTTGAAGCAACCAGAAATTTGGTTGCCGCACGTGAAATTTCTGAAAAACCGTAGAGCATTTCCTAGTCTGGCGACTGGAAATGCGATAGAGAAAGGAAGTTCACATTTCTATCCATGGCTCCACATGGAAGAGTAAAATGGGAAATTCGGATTCTTTTTGGACTCTTTTGTCATTTTAAAATATATATAAAAATTCAAATATTTTTATTTTCTTTCTTAAATTGGATCAAGAAGAAATGGAATAAAATATTCCTCAAAGTTATAGGAGCAAATTGGTTATTATATTTTTACATAATAAATTTGTTATATTTTTTTATAAGTGTGAGTTTGTAGATGTGTTCGTTAAAATTTCAGATCCATCCAATATACATAAAGAAATTAAAATTGAAATTCTCATACTACTCTGGACCGTTCATCAAGATCTGATGGTTGAAATCAAAAATATTATAGGTGATCTATCATGTGGAGTTTTAGGGGTATTTCAATCATTTTATTTTATTAAAAAATATGTCTTTTTTATAACTAAAGGGCTGTCACTTGGTGTGATGGTAAAAAGCTCGGGTAACTGCTGGTTTGGGTTTGAGTCCTGGGAGCGGCCACTTTGTGCATGAAAAGCCAGTACGTGCTCACTCCTCCCCAGATTGGGTCACGGCCTTCACCCCAAATTTTTGCTCAAAGCATAGAATAAAATGAAATTGCGATTCTCGCATATGCTTTCAACTGTTCGTGAGGGTATTCGTATTTCAATTCTTATATTTTCCTAAATTATTTATTGCGTGGATTACATTAGCCCAAAATTTTAGCTCAATTTTGATACATGCTCCCAACTGATTCAATTTTTATTTTATTTTATGTGATACACATCTATGTTGCGACACCAATCTTGGATACGCTACGATTTCCAAATCTCATTCATTTAACAAATATTTCCATCTCATTAACGGGAACTTAAATGAATGGTTGAATGTGGCATGTTTTTAGATCTAATTTTTTAAATTTCAACTTAAACCTCATATAGTTTTTGAAAATCCCTATAATTCCATAGTTAATCAAACACATTATTTAATCTGTTGACACCCGTTGCTCTTGTCCTCTAATACAAAACCCCTTAATTAAATAGTTTTAAAAGATGACCATGACATTTGGGCGTGTATACTATGCTCTTCAGACGGCATACTGTAGGCCTACTCCCTGGGTGAATGAGTACCTGGGATATTTTTGTTTCGATCTAAAATTCAGGGATCGACTTATAAATCATGAAATGGTTATTCTTCAGAGCAATAAATGGTGGCTTTTTAATTCTTCAGCACTTAGATCTCACCCTCAAAAAAATTGAACAGTCTGTATTCAATATTGAGATGGCACTGTGCAATTTGAAAACTTGCATTTTACATTTTTGAGGTTGGTACCCAGGTTGAAGATGTCTTAAATTTGGGGTCATAAAAATATGGGAATGTGTACTATAAGACCTTCAGTATTGGTACAAGGAGGCCACAATTAGTTGTTGACGTTGAATATGATATTGAAGTGTATCAAAGTATTGAAAAAATTTTATTTTGGACTTTGTATCAAATCAATGATATATCGACAATCAATCAATTTCACATCTAACAACTGATTTTACATCTAATGGTAAATAATGATTGGAACCTCCTTGTATCACAAATAATAATTTTATTATATATTTTAAAAAATTTAGATTGAGAAGTTATCAAAGGGCATAAAAGGGCAAAAACATTGATAGAGTTAACGGAGAACTGGGTTCTGTTTGGGGTGAATCTATACTTTCCTGTCATATACATCTTATATACTTTCTTTATCTCCCAACCATCACAATGTCATGACTATACACTATTTTATTTTAAAGTTTTGTCTATAAAACATTTTGCAACCAAATTTGGGGTGGTCATCCTCTCTTAAACTCGTACATGAAACAATATATAAACAAAAAATCTTAAAGAAATAAAACAGCCAAAATAAATTCAAAAGTTTTAAAGGTATTTTGATTATCTTAGTTTTAAAATATTTTTTTAATATTTTCTTCATGTCCACTCCATTGAGAATATGACATTAACCAAATTTCATATCCTTATTATTTATGGAAATAAATTAAAAATAAAATACTTTGAGCTGTCAGATCTAGATCAAACAGTCAATGATTCACTTGTAACATTTTGAGATAAGCAACATCAACCATTCATTTAAATTGGATGGATGGATAGGAGGGGAGGTATATAAAATATATATGGTGGGATTATAGGCTAGTGGTTATGGACATATCAAGATACAAAAAAAAAAAAAGGGTGAAATTATGAGGTGTCCAGAAACCAGGTGACGGGATTTAAAAAATGAGGAATGAAACATTGAATATGATGTCGTTACGTTAAATGAGATGGTTGACTGTATAAAAAAAATGGCAAAAAGAAGTTTTAAGAGGATTTAGAGTGAAAATAAATTTCGATAAATAAATTTGGTGGTGGAGTGAATTGCGTTAATGGGTCAGGTTCTAAAATTATGATATCTAGGCGCTCAGGCATTGGGAAATAGGACTCCCCAGCAGGGTCTGAATTGCAAAACCGATTTTTATAAATGCATCATAAAAATTTTGGGCCTACCAAGCTGGGCTTAGCCTAGTCCTCAGGCGAGCGGCTTAGCTGGCCACACTCTCGTAAAACCGCTTGAAATCGATGACATAAAAAGGATTGTATATGATGGAACCATTTATTTGACAAAATTTATTTTAAAGTTTGAGTTTGGTCGAGATAATTTCAACCGCACAATTTCATATCTAAGAGTCAAGATTAATGTGAACATCTTGTGTCAAAAGTAAAAAGGGTCGCATCCTGTACTTTCCCAGCGTAAAATGCTCATATCGTATGGTGTAGATCGCTGAACGAACTTCGGTTTCATTTGCGAAAGCCAAGGAAGGGAAACTCCCTAAAACCCTAAACCCTAATTGCTTTTTTTCGAAATTTGCAGTCCAAAGATCAAACGTCTCTTCCTTCCAAACCCTACCGCTAACCCTAATTTCTTGATCAATGTTTCCAGTTCGTAGAACCAAATCCTAAATATCGACAAAAGCATGCTTTTCTCAATCCTTGCAACGCACCCTAACCCTAGTCTCCTCCTTCAGAGACCTTTATAACCCTAAAATGTCTTCTCTTTGTCTCAGGCGTCGAGCTCTTCTTCAAGCTCAGAGTTTTTGCACCTCTGCGATCGGTGAAACCCTAACCTTCAGTGCAGCGAGAAGAAAGCTGCGATGTACTAGCGAGCCCAGCGAAGTTATCAACATTTTCAACGCAGTTCAAAAACTCAATGGAATTGCGGGGGCTCGATCTGTTCGTGACCTGGCAGTGAGGAGACTTGTAAAAGCCCAGCGTTTCTCTGATATTGAAACCCTACTCGAGAACCAGAAGAAGCACCCAAATGCAAAGGTAGAGAAGTTCTTATCTGATGTGATTCTTGCATATGGTCGGGCTAAAATGCCAGATCAGGCCATTAAGACCTTTTATCAGATGGATGAACTTGGCTGTCCTCGCACTGTAGGTTCATTCAATGCGCTTTTAACTGCCTTGAAGGACGCTGAGAAATTTGATAGGATAATTGAGCTTTTCGATGAAATCCCCTCTAAATTTGGCATAACATCGAGTAGTGTCAGCTATTCGATCGTCCTCAAGTCTCTGTGTGATTCAGGTTCACCTGATAAGGCTTATGAGAAGCTCAAGGAAATGAAGGAAAAAGGAATTAAAGTGACTAACATTTCTTACACTACTTTAATTGATGGGTTTTACAAGAAGAAGAAACCAGAAGAAGCTGAGAAAATTTGGGATGAAATGGTGAAGAATGGGTGTTCTCTTGATACCCCAGCTTATAATGCTAAGCTTATTTATATAGCAAATCATGGAAAACCTGAAGAAGCTCTGAAATTGCTTGAAGAAATGGGGGCCTCGAATGTTAAACCCGATGCATTATCATATAATTTCCTCTTGATGTGTTACTTGAAGAATGGTAAAAAGGAGGAAGCCAAGAAGGTCTATGAAGAAATGGGGAGAAAGGGTTGCTACCCTGATCAGGTGACATACAGGATTTTTATGAGATATTTGGTTCAAAAAAATGATTATGATTTGGGTCTTGAAGTTTGCAAGAAATGTGTTAGGAGGAGAAAGGTCCCGAATTTTCAAATTGTGAGCAATTTGATTACGGGACTTGTGAAAAATTTGAAGGAGGAAGAGGCGAAGCAGCTGATCAAGATGATTAACGATATTTTTCCACCAAATGTATTTCCATCAAATGTGTTGCCTGATTGGAGGAAACTCGAGGCCCAATTTGGCTTGAACAAGAAGGAAGGATCATCATCCGATGAGTAAAAGTGATAGGTTAGTGGTTTCAATTAATGGAGGTGCCTTTATTTCACTTCTGGCAGATGAAAGTTTTTACATGGACTTTACCGTGTGGGCCTTTGATAATCTGATGTCCATCAATTTGATTTTGAAATGCTGGTCGGTACTTGTTGTACTCCTGAAAGAAATACAATTTTGAACTCCAATGCAATTTTTAACTTGTATTTCGTTTTTTTTTTATCTGTCCGATTCTGTTTCTTTCCAGAAAGGAATAACATCTCTTTAAATTATGGTCTCACTGTAAACTTTATGTAGAATATAGGGGTGCATTTGTTGCAAGCATTATTTGATATATCGCTAGTGAGTGGTTCTGTGCTTTTCCTGCTTCAAAGAAACATTTCACGTTTACGGTTTAAGTGCCTCTGGAAATGGATGTGTTTGTATTCTAAGATAGTTTTAAGCAAAATAAGAAAATGCTGATGGTTTTTGAAGAATTACAATGATTTATAGATGCAATTCAAGAATTATTTACTTTTTAAAAATAATAGAAGTTATTTTATTTAGAAATATGTGACCTGTGTCACTTCACAAATGACAGACATGATAAGAACATCTGAGGAAAAAGTAATCCAGTCTTTATTATTTTACAATTTTAACCATGACTACTACTAATTTGTTGAGGGCATTTGGTTTTTATAAATTCATAACTACTAATTTGTTTAGGGCATTTGGCCCTTATGACTTCCATATTAATAGCTGGATAACTATAGTTGAGAAGTTTCTGGATGAACTTTCACTTTTCTTTCTTTTTTTTTTTTGTGAAAGAGGCTGACATTATGGAAAAAAAAAATAAACAAGTGAAAGTTCATCGATAAACTTCTCAACACGAACTGTAAGTTACAAAAAGTGGAAGTTTATCAATTCTTATCAACTGTACATCTGGACAGTTGATTAGAATTGATGAACTTTCACTTGCTGAACTTATAGTTAAGAGTTAAAAGATTTGATTCCCTTTGGCTGAAGAAAATCACTCTCACAAATGGAGACTGACCTTGTCTTTAAGCCTTTTTGGCTAAAAAGCTTGAATAGGCGGATCCTTTGATGTCAACTGTGTTGATATATGGTCCTTCAATTTTTCTGTCATTTTGGCCAAACTTTCTAGAGAGAAATGAGAGAAGGTTACATCGATAAACTTCTCAACACTAACTGTATGTTACAAAAAGTGGAAGTTTATCAATTCTAATCGACTGTACATCTGGACAGTTGGTTAGAATTGATGAACTTTCACTTGCTGTAACTTAGAGTTAAAACTCCCAATTTTTCTGTCATTTAATTTTTCCGTCATTTAATTTTTCTGTCATTTTGGCCAGACTTTCTATAGAGAAATGATATAAAGCTAATTCTACCATTTGATCGGTTTCGGGGTTCAACAAGACAAAACCGTGTTGTTATGCATGGAGAGAAGATTTTTATTTTGTCATGTTTTTAGTTTTCTGATAAAACTCCCAATTGTAAATAAATCAAATTTCTCCTAATTGTATATCATCATTATCATGAACTTATTATCATCCTTAGTTCGCGCCCTGGTGACTCTATACCAGTCATCACCCAACCATAAACCTTTGAAATGATCCCCGCCCCTGGAAACTTTGTAAACAATTTCATTTTCATTCCAGCTAAAAATCCAAAAAAAAAAACTGAAAAATTGGTTTGCGGAAGAGAGAAAGCTACCATCAAAGACACATATGTGCTCTGTTTTGAGTAGGACACTGGTAACTGCTCAATCTGGACTTGGGTGGCTCACAACTTAGGGTGAACCGCTGCAGTATCACCCTTATGATGGCAAGTTCCTTATCCCATCATCTATGAACAATGTCTGCCTTCTTATTATTTTTGAGAGAAGTGTCTTCCTTATTATTGGTAGTGATTCTTTATCAGCATTAAGTAATTTCTTTAAACTTGAGCTTGACATGACTCTTATGTTTGATATTATATTGGATTATAATAATCGGAGTTGTTATCTTTTCTATGTAATCCTTATGAATGCAAAGGCAAACTTGTTTGTGCTAGTTAAACATTTTAAACTCCTTGTTTGAAGAGCATGTATAATAACTTGATTGAAATGCACTTTTCGTTGTTCATTGCTTTGTAAGTCTTTAGCTGGTTTCCATTCAATCAACTATATTTTGAATTTTTAGTTATTTGAGAACTTTGGAAGGATGCACTAAAATGTAAAGGTTTTAAAATTAGCCATACCAAGAAAGAGTATATGAAATGTAAGTTTATAAAAATAGGAATAGAGATGAGGAAGTAGTTAACATTGATGGCCAAGAAATATAAAAACAACGCATTTTTTATATCTTAAGTCGATAATCCAAGAAAATGGAGAGATTGAGGAAGGTGCCGCCTATAGAATTAGAGCTTGGTCCGCAAAGTCGAGATGTACAATATGGGTTTTATGTGATCACCGCATACCAATAAAGTTTAAGGGGAAGTTCTATAAGACAACTATGAGATCAGTTTTGCTTGATAAGACATAAAGTTGGGCGGATCGGGTAGGTTTTTTTTTGGGGGGTTGCAGGGGTGGGATTTGTTTTCTTTATTTATTTGCTTTCACAATGGAATGGTTGATTATAGAAATATTCTTAACCTAGCATTTGGGTTATAAACTGTTGTAGCACCTCCCTGAGCATAGGATATCTGAAAGGATGGTTGGGATGCAGCACGTTGACATCTATTGTTGGTGCTAATATACTGTGTGCAGCCCTGCAGCTTACCCATACATTTTTGTTTAAGATTTTTTCAAAGGAAAAGTTTGGTGCGGTCCATATAGCCATCATAGCTATATGGTCAGCATTGGCTTTCCACCATCTACTTGGATGGTGATGGAGGGACAATGGGGACTATATGGTGGGGACTATATGGTTGTAATCGGCATCATATAATATTGGACTTATGCTATGTTTCCCCAAAGAAAATGCAAAAAAATATACTTATTGTAAGCATTGTAAGGCGTTAAAAGCTCCATATTTATAAATCTAGGTTGCTAACTCAGGCACTCGCAGGGGCGAAACTCCCTCGTCTGATCAACCTATGGTGATTCTGGGTTCGTGAACCTGGCCATGTGGGAACCCTTGGTGCGTGCTGACTCAAATGAATCCAATTGGCTCGGCACTTTTTCAATCACTGGCTGAATTAGCATTATATAAGTTGGACGCATACTGTGGATAATTTTGAGAAACCTTTTGGAGGTCTTCCATTTCCCATTACATTTTCATTCACAAACATGGAGACAATTTAAGAAAAATACAGGAGGTTTTTACATGTTTGTGTGGAAATCTTATTTTCCGTTTCGCATTACATTTTCATTGCAAAGTTGGGGAGAAATTTGTGAATGATATTGGAGGAATTTGCAATCATAGAAGGTACTCTAATGCTTCTCAGTCATCAATGCTTCTCTCTCTCTCTCTCTCTCTCTCTCTCTTTTCAAGTCCAAAATTTGCTAACCAATATTCAGGATAGGTATATTTAACCAACTTGATGTTCTCTCTTGCCTCTTCCACCTTTGAGTTCCTCAGTATGCCTTTAATTAAAAGGCCTAAAGCCTCGAATCAGGAGCGTTCTTCTTGCTAATACAGTCCTTAAGATAAATCTAGAAAATTTTGATATTTTGTCTTGGTTGAAAAGGTGAAAAGTAAAATTTGAACTATCAGTTTTAATTATGTAAATCTTAAAAGAAAAGGTTTATATACGGTTGCGATCTTATTTATAGAAATACGTTTGCATTAATCTGCACCATCTATTTTATGTGGTGCAATAGTTTTTTACTATCAATTTCGGTCTCATGATTAAATTGGGTTCAGTGTCCCCTAAAAAGGAAAATGTCTTCTAGGGTTGTTAGCTTTACCGATGCACCTCAAATCTCACTAAACCTTGAGAAACCCTTAAATCGATTAATTTGACAGTTGGATATAGACTTATAAATTTAAACCCAATTTCAAAGTTCAAAAGGAATTTTCGCAAATCTTTTGATACAACCAAGCTATTGTATTTCACATCGGATGGTTGTAAGTAATTGTGACCTCCCTACACTAAAAGTAAATAGTCTCATTGTATACAATCCCATATTATAATAGAAAATATTTCTATACTTCCCCTACAACATAGAAGATATATGCTTTCCCTACCATCTAGCCATCCAATTTTGATCAAGAGAGCCATTTACCGCTTGATCTTAGATCTGACATCTCAAAGTATTTTATTTTTAGTTTTTTTTATACAAATTTTATGAATATAAAATTTGGTACGTGCCATCTTCTCATTAGGGCGCACCTATAAAAAATATTTTTCGATAAAATATAATGACCAAAATACCTCTTGAAACTTTTAGGGGTATTTTGGTTATTTTATTTTATTGGAAATATATTTTTTATATTTATCGCTAGTACGAGTTTAATAGAGGATTGGACGTCCGAAATTTGGTGTCAAAGTAGTTTAAAAATAAAAAATAAAAGTAAAATAATGTAGAGACATGACATTGTGATTGGGGCAATCTTAGCCTTCCATTCAGAATAGATGGTTGGATGAGGGAAAATATATAAGTTATGCTATCGGAGAAGCATAAAAAGCTTGCCCTATTATAATTATAGGAATTCTTTTTCTTCTTTATATTAGGCTCATGTCTCGATGCCTTTTTATCTTTTATTCTAATTTTTTCCTTACTTGGGATATTGAAAATTTAAATCACTAAGCTAATTGATGACAACGGATTCTCAATATCCATAGTCATCTCTGGATTTAAAATGAAGAATTGTCTATTAAAGAAAAAACACAAGTGACTTCAGATTTTAAAAATACGAAGTCAGCGAACTTTGGACTCTAAAAATTCAAAGTCACTTTAACTTGGAATTTTGAAATCCAAAGTCACTTCGACTTCGGATTTGAACATCCAAAGTCTCTCTAAAATCTAGAGTCCAAGTGACTTTGGATTTGAAAAGTTAGAATATCTTTGACTTTGGAATTTGAAAATTTGAGATCGATATGACTTTGGATTTTCAATATTTGAAATCATTTATGCATATAAAAAAATCAATAGTTTTAAGAGAAAGCAAAAACCCAAAGTAGCTAAGGATTTTAGAAATCCTAAGTCACTATGGCTTCGAATTTTCAATATTCGAAATCATTAACAACCTCTGTAACTTCGGATCTTTAATATCCAAGATTAGGGCAAAGTTGGTATAAATAATTGACCACCAAAATGATACATGCACAATCTATCCAAAAGAGAAGAAGAAGATTTATAATTATAATATGGGATTGTTTATAAAAAGACAATTTATCTTTTGTACATGGAGGTTATAATCATTATTTTCTCTTAAATTTCAAAATAGGTGGTTGTAAGAGCGTCATTGAATAGACACCGTTAAAAGAAAAAAAAATTCTCGGATTCATGACTCATTCTGAGCCATCCAATTTGACATCTAATAAATGGGGATGATTATGATCTCTATGTACAATAAATAAATAACATTTGTAGACAATCCCATATAATATTTATATGAAGTATACAAATAAAATTTTCAATAATCTATGCTTCAACATCCTAAGTTGTCCATATCAATGTCAACCCCATGCAGATCCGATTGATTGATTTGCTCCATTTTTAAACTTTCAAATTCTAAAAGACAAACATAGATTCATTAGTCATCACAAAATTTTTGCATTCATAATTTTATATTCCACTAGAGGATCTAGTTTCTATACGGCCAAGCCCACATATGTAGAAACGAGGGCGTCTTACTAAATTTATTTTTGAGATAGATTTTAAGACTTAATTTTTAAGGACATATAATATTTAACATGCAGATCATGAATATGAAAAAATAAATAAATTTTAAAAATTAGAAATAATAATTCTAATAAGAAAATATTTCGACCATTAGTTTCAATTGTTTTTAGATGGAACACCTACTTGCACCCATCTTTTAAAATGGATGCTTCACACTTTATGGACCATATATGTAGAAATGCAGTCCAGCCCGAATCAAACAATTTTCCTCCACTAAAATTGTGTTAGCTGGCTAGGTTAGCCCTAGCCCAAACCCGACCTAAACTGATATGACCTAGATCAAAATATCTATACCCGAGCTTTGTGTAGGCCTAAAAAATAGGCTGCGTCTGGTTGGGCCTAGATTATAAAATAATTCATTCATTAAAGGGAAAATAGAGATGGTATACAATGAGACCATTTACTTTGGGTAAAGGGAGGTGACAATTATTTATAGTAATCTGATGTGAAATATGATAAGCTTGAGTGTGTTACAAAGTTCAAAAAAAGTTATTTTGAACTTTAAGTTTGGTCAATGAAACAAATACAACCATCCAATTTTACATTTAATGGTTAAGATTAATTAGGACCATTTTATATCAAAGGTAAATAATATCGTATATTTATTTGAAAAGATATATCCATATATCTTTTTTTAAAAATTTATTTTTCAATAAACCGAGAGTTCGACAGCCCATACATCATATGCCCGCCCTAGCCGCAGCGCCTTGCCATATGCCCCGGTTTGTGACCGTTAACAGCCACTGGTGGCACTATTGTAAAATCACATGATACGGAGGGCATATATTTGCTAATCTCATGTACCATAAATCACTTGTTGACCTATGATTGAATTTGGGAAACCCACAAAGGGGGAAACTCCCTGAAACCCTAAACCCTAATTCCCTCCTCCAAAATTTACAGGCGAAAGATCAAACCATCTTTTGCTTCCAAACCCAACACAAACCCTAATTTCTCGATCCATGTTTCCTGAACACGGAGAAAATCTCTAAAAATCACTAACATCGAGAAAACCCTACATTTCTAAAACCGTAGTTTCCTTTTTCAGAGACCTGTATAACCCTAGAATGTCTTCACTTTGTCTGAGACGTCGAGCTTTTCTTCAAGCTCACCGCTTTTGCACCTCTGCAACATTATCTGAGAACACTGATACCTTGACTTTCAATGTTGCGAGAAGAAAGCTGCGATATACTAGCGAGCCCAGCAAAGTCATTGACATTTTCAACTCAGTTCAAAAGCTCAATGGAGTTGCAGGGGCTCGAGCTGTTCGTGACCTGGTGGTGAGGAGGCTCGTAAAATCTCAGCGATTCTCTGATATCGAAACACTACTTGAAAACCAGAAGAAGCATCCACATGCAAAGGTAGAGAGGTTCTTATCTGATGTGATTCTTGCATATGGTCGAGCTAAAATGGCAGATCAGGCCATTAAGACCTTTTATCAGATGGATGAGCTTGGCTGTCCTCGCACTGTAAGTTCATTCAATGTGCTTTTGACTGCCTTAAAGGACTCTGAGAAATTTGATAGGGTAACTAAGCTTTTCGATGAAATCCCTACTAAATTTGGCATATCACCAGATCATTTTAGCTATTCGATCTTCCTCAAGTCTCTGTGTGATTCAGGTTCGCCTGATAAGGCTTATGAGAAGCTCAAGGAAATGAATGAAAAAGGAATTACAGTTACTAACATTTCTTACACTACTTTAATTGATGGGTTTTACAAGAAGAAGAAACCAGAAGAAGCTGAGAAAATTTGGGATGAAATGGTGAAGAATGGGTGTTCTCTTGATACCCCAGCTTATAATGCTAAGCTTATTTATATAGCAAATCATGGAAAACCTGAAGAAGCTCTGAAATTGCTCGGAGAAATGGAGGCCTCGAATGTTAAACCCGATGCATTATCATATAATTTCCTCTTGATGTGTTACTTGAAGAATGGTGAAAAGGAGGAAGCCAAGAAAGTCTATGAAGAAATGGCGAGCAACAGCAAGGGTTGCTACCCTAATCAGATGACATACAGGATTTTTATAAGATATTTGGTTCAAAAGAAGGATTATGATTTGGCTCTTGAAGTTTGCAAGGAGAGTATTAGGAGGAGAAAGGCCCCGAAGTTTCAAACTGTGAGCGATTTGATTAAGGGGCTTGTGAAGAATTCAAAGGAGGAAGAGGCGAAGCAGGTGATCAAGATGGTTCATGATACGTTACCTCCAAATGTGTTGCACGCTTGGAAGAAATTTGAGGCCCAACTTGACTTGAACAAGAAGGAAGGATCATCATCTGACGAATAAAGCCATAGGCGAATGACTTCAATTAATGGAGGTGAGCACACTTCTTTCTGGAAGATGAAGGTTTTTTAATTTGTGGGCTTTATTGATGGACCTTTGACAATCCAATGCCCATCAGTTTCATTTTGAAATGCTGGTCGGTACTTGGTGTTACTGTTCAAAGAGATACAATTCTGAACTCCAATGGAATTTTTTAACTTACATATTTCATTTGTTTGCTGCCCAATTCTGGTTTTGAAAAGAATAACATCGCTATAAATTCTGGTCGTACTTTAAATTTTATCTCGAATATAGGGGTGCAATTTGGCGCAAGTGATATTGATATTTTGTGAGAAGTGATTCTGTGTTTTGCCTGCTTCAATGTAACACTTCATGTTTAGCTTCTACATACCTCTAGGAATGGGAGTGCTTATGTTTTAAGAAACTTTAAAGCAAAATGCAGAAATGCTTATGGTTTTAGAAATAATAAAATGATTCATAGATGCAATTCAAATTCAAGAATTATTTGTTTTTTATAAAATGATAAAAGTTATCTTATCTAGAAATATGTGACCTGTCACTTAACAAATGACAAGTCATAACAAGAACATCTAAAACAAAACTAATTTCATCTTTTGTGAGTAATGATCTTATAGGACCCTTTGCTAGTATGGGACCCCAAAACATCACAGTTGGATTTCAATCAAAATCTCAAGATGGGATTTGAATCCCTCCTCCTCTTTCTTAAAACCTTTTGAAGTAACGGTCTCTCTTTCTCTCTCCCCTCATTCGTCCTCTATACCTCTTTACTCTCTCTCTACCCTCCCTTTCGCTCTATTCCTCCCACTGTCTCCTCCCTTTCCTTCTCTCTTCCTCCTGCTCTTTCCTCCCTTTCCTTCTCTCTTCCTCCTGCTCTCTCCCCCTTCATTCTTTCTTCTTCTTCTAATATACCACACGCTCTCTGTCCTGCACTCCCTTCCCCCTTCCTCAATCATCCATATACCGTTTCTTTGAAAAACATTAATATGATCCATTTAATGGTATTGGAAACAAACCGATTACTAATTCCTCTATGTACTAGCAAGATGGCATCATTAAGCATTCCCTTCTTGCAGCTCCAGCTTGTCAATGTATTATATGTAACAGTATCAGGTTTTATTCCTTCGATTTGTAGCCTATCAAAGAGATTCTAGGCCTCCCCCATCCTCCCATTTTTGCGAAGGCCATATATCAGGCCATTATAAGTTACAATATCGGGTATACAACCACGATGGAGTATTTCCTTCAGAAGCTCAAGAACAGATTCAATATTCCCAGTTTTACATATGCCATTTATCATAATGTCATAAGATATGTTATTTGAAGCAATTCCTCTTCTCACCGTATCTTCAAACAAACCCAAGGCCCTTTCAATCACCCCATCACTGCATATTGCCTTAATAGCATAATTATAAATTATAATATCAGGGGAAAATCCTATGAATATCATTTCATTCACAAGGTTTTGAGTCTCTTCTATAGAACCTCTTCTCAGTAGGGCACCAATTAGGGTATTGTAAGTTGTGTTGCTAGGAATTAAACCATGTACTAACAAGTCCCGACAGACATCACTTGTAGCTGTAAAATGTGTGGCTGATTTTGTGGAAGAAGAGAGAGAGAGAGAGGGGAGAGACATCATATGGCTGTTGAGGAAGGGGAAGAGAGTGTAGGAGAGAGAGCATGTGGTTTATTAGAAGAAGAAGAGAGAGAGTGGAGGGGGTAGAGAGCGGGAGGAAGAGAAAAGGAAAGGGAGAGAGCAGGAGGAAGAGAGTGAGAGGGAGGGTAGAGAGAGAGCCGAGAGAGAGAGATAGAGAGAGAGAGTTACTTACAAAAAAGTTACTTTTTTTTAGAAAGAGGATGAGGGATTCAATTCCCATCTTGAGATTTGGATTGAAATCCAATGGTGATTTGTTGGGGTCCCTTGCTATTGCATTTGGCAGAGTCCTATAGGATCATATTATTTTACATTTCTAACTATGACTACTACCAAGTTGTTGAGTACATGTGGTTCTTATAATCCATATTAATAGCTGGAACTACTGTTGGGAAGTTTATGGATAAACTTTCACTTGTTGTGACTTATGGTTAGTGTTATAAGATTCAATCCTCTTTCGTCAAAGAATCTCAATCTCTCCTCCAAATGGAGGCTGAACTTGTATTTAAGCATTTTTGGCTATAAAGCTTGAATAGGGAGAACCTTTTCGGCTGAAGTCAACCGTGTTGATATATGGTCCATTAGTTTTCTGTCATTTTGGCCAAGATTTTCAGGGAGGAATGGGTCAAAGATAATTCCTACCGTTTGATGAATTTCATGTTTCAACTAAACAAAAGCTGTATTTTTTATGCATGGAGAGGATTTTTATCATTTCATGTTTTCAGTTTTCTGATAGAACTCCCATTTGTGGATATTTCAAACTTGTCCTAATTGTACATCCTCTTCATGAACTTGTAGTCATCCTTAGCTCTTACCCTGGTGACACTATAATAAAGAACCTTTCAACTGATTGTGTTTTTTTCTGGAAACTTTGTTAACAATTTCATTTTCATCGAGCTAACAATCCAAAAGAAAAACTGAAAAAGTGGTTTCTGGAAGAGAGAACCACATATCTGCTCTGTTTTGGGCAAGACACTGATAGCCATTGGATGTGGATGTGGACGGCCCAGATCTTAGGGTGACCAGTGCAGTGTCACCCTTATGGTGACACAATCTATATCCCATCAGCTATCAACAATGTCTACATTGTTATTGATAGTGGTTCTTTATTGGCATTAAGTAATTTCTTTTAAATAGTGCTTGACATGAATCTTATGTTTGATATTATGTTGGATTATGATAATTGAAGTTGTTACTTATGAATGCAAAGGCAAAATTGTTTATGGTGGTTAAAACATTTTTGACTCCTTGTTTGATGAGCATTGGCAATAATTCAATTGAAATGCATTTTTCGTTGTCCACTGCTTTGTAAATCTTTAGTTTATTTTTATTCTGTTTTAAAAATTTTAGTTATTTGAAAATGTACTCTAGAGTCTTCTTCATTGCAGTGGCAGTATCTTTCATTCCTCGCATAATAAATCGATTTCATAACAACTTACACCATTGACCAAACGAGAGAGCTCTACTCCTTTTAAATCCCCCTCCATCAAGCTATTTGATTTCATGGGTACTCTCTATAATTGCTTTTTCTTTTTTTTTTATTCTTTTTTCTTTTCTTTTTTTTTCCAAGAGTGGTGTTTTTTAAATTATGGGGGGTGGGGGAGGTAAGTATTTTCTACGGTGGGCTGACCATGTGTAGTGTAGACTTAATACAATACCGGAAAAAAGATATGTGGATTTCGAGTAGAATGGTAGAAAAGGATTCCTATAGCCAACCCGAATCAGTTGGGATAAGGTTCCGATGATGAAGATGATTTTGGGTTTTGAACGAATGCTACAGCTTACCGGCCTTTTTCTACTTTATATTTCTTTCTTTAAAGGAAAAGTATGGTGTGGTCCATATAGGCATCATAGCATATGGTCAACATCGCCGTTCAATCTTCCAGTTGGATTCAACCAGCGAGTTGGATGGTGATGGAGGGGGATTGGTGACTATAAGATATTGGAGTATGCTACGTTTTCCACAAAGAAAATGCGATAAGAATGTACATGTGTAAGGTGTTCAAAGCGCATGTTTATAAACCCATAACTGGGTGCTGACTCCGGCACTTGCCGGGGCGAGCTAGCTTTCCGATTCCAAACAATTCGGTCCCAAGTGGCGAAAGAAAAGAGAAAAAAAAAATTATAATGTCACCGCGAGGACAGTGAACCAGAGTTTTTAGTATTTGTTCGGTCCGTTGTGATTCTTGGTTTGTAACCATTGGTGTCTTATTAGTTAATGAACTTTTTACAATGCCGCGCATACATTTAAAAAATCCAGGTAATTTAAAACCCAGGGGTCGGGATTGGGAGCTGTGCATCCTGATTCAACCGGTTAGACTTTACTCAATAATGTTGGGAATATTTGCAGAATTACTTTATAATTTTTATTTTTATTTTTATTTTTTTATTTTTGAAATCTGAATAGAGTTGGGAATATTTGTATAATGTATTTTATAATTTAAATTATTATTTTAATCCTATTTTGTTTTTAAAATCTGATTCAATTAGTTCTATCAGTGAACTGATTTGGATTTAGACCAAAATGACCAGTTTTACGAGCATTGGACTAGAACCCTTGTTGGATATCTTTCATTCCCAACCTCGAACGTTTTAACTTTCAAATGGAACACAAATCATCCCATCCCATTTAATAAAGGAAAATGGTTTAATAAGGCTGTAGCCCTATTAATAAGTAAAGCTTCACCTCGTAATTCATCGAAAATTACACTCAAGCATTGAAAAGCCTTTACATCGATCAGCTTGAATGTGAAAAAAAAATTGGGGTTTAAGCTCTAAAGATTGTGTATATTGCAGCAAATTGTCTAGACCGTCCATTTCACTTTAAGAATAAGTGTTTATAGATCTGTAAGATTTTTACCATTTTTTCAGTGTCAAATTTTGTTGTTGGTGTTGGAAATTGATTTAGGTCCATCATGGATATTTTCGTCGTCCAAAGTGCTTTCTAGACAAGGAGGCTTTATTTTAATTTCCCAAAGTCTAGGTAATTTCATCCTTTAAAAGTTCAGGAACCATTAATTACAGGGGAACGCTTTGAACTTTTATTGAGACTTCAGCGAAAAGAGAATTACATGGAGAGAAAAAAAAAAGCAAAATTCAGTTAAAAAACCAGAAAAATATATAAATAAAATAAAATAAACAAAGTATGATACGTTGAGCTGCACCTTGAAATGAATCAATGGAACTGTAAATCTCCAATGCTCACTCAACAAATTTAGAAGCTCAAAACCTCCTCTATCGGTGCCACGCTATCGTCTGCATCTCCTTATCAGTGCCATGCTTTCGACTGCATCAGGATGAAGCGAAATTCATCTCCATAAAGTTGATTTCTGTCACTACAAATCCATCTCCATTAACTTGCCTCTAAAATTATCGAGTTTCTTTTTTGTTTTTGAAAGCAAAAACCATCAAATCCTCAGTCCAAGTTCACCCCCATAAGCTCTTCCCTCTCTTCTCTCTCTCACTGTTTGCTCAACTACTCAGTCATCAATGCATATTATCTCTCTTCCCAAGTCCACCATCGAACTCCTTCGAATTTGCTGACCAATCTTCAGGATAGGTATCCTTAACCAGCTTGATGATCTCTTTTGCCTCTTCCTCCTTCGAACTCCCCACTAGGTCCTTTAACTAAAAGGCCTAAAGCCTCGAAATCAGGAGCCTTCTTCTTGCTAACACAGTCCTCAAAACACTTCAAGAGCACGCCCGTTATCCTCTAGTTTTACAGAGGAAATGGAGAAAAACCGTAAACGAGAAATCATTTGGGGAAGAACCCTTTTTCTCCATCTCTTTAAAAGTCCTATTTGCCCCTTCAATTTCTCCATTTTGTAACACATCAGGAGCAAATTGTAAGTGATGACACTGTGCATAACACCTGAAGCTTCCATTTCTGCAATTACTTTCATCTATATACGAAACCCTAGGATTGTAAGCAGCAGCATCAGGAGAGCACCCCACCTTCACCATTTCATCCCAAATTTTCTCAGCTTCTTCTGAGTTGTTGCTCTTATAGAGAACATTAATAAGTATAGTGTAAATGATTCGTGGTAACCTCCATTTGCCTCTCTTCCATCTCTTCAAGCTTTTGATAAGTTAATTTAGGTGATCCCATCTCACAAATAGACTTTATGAGGATTGAATAGCTCAGGGTTTAACCTAAATTTGCTGGGATTTCAGCAAAGAGCTCTGTTACCTTTTCAAAATCCCCGCATCTTTGCAAGCAGTTAAGACGGCATTGAATGAATCTACGGAGCAAGGGATTTCAAGCTTGTCCATCTGGTAAAACGGTTTAATGGCTTGGCCCACCATTTTAGCTTGACCATAAGAGATAAGAAGGCCGTGTAAGAAGTTCTCTGATTTGATTTTAGGGTTTTTCTTCTGGTTTTCAAGTAAGATTTCAATCTCAGAGAAACATTGAGTTTTTGGCGAGCTACCTAATTGCAAGGTCCTGCAAATATCGAGCCCTAACTACACCTGCCCGCTCATGAGCTGAGTTAAAGATATCAATGATTTAATCAGGATCGCTCAAATGGCGAAGCTTTGATATTTGCCGAAATGAAAGTCAGGGTGGTTTGGGGATTCTTAGATTGAGAAACATAGGTGCAGTAATGGTGAACACACACGACAGCTCGGTGTCGGAGATAAGTGGAGGCCATATGTAGGTTTTGGAAGATCAGGGCTAGGTTTCAGTTGCAGAGTTTTCCAGGGTTTTGTTGAAATCTCTGAAAGTGAAGAGTAGGAGTAGGATTATGGTTTAGGCGCAGCTTTTCTTTCACTGTGAAATGGGGAAATTAGGGTTGTAAGGTTTTTTAGGAGATTAGGGTTTTGGAGTGGAAGGACATTGAAGTTAGCTTCTGGTATTCAAAGTGTGACTGTGAACTGTGAAGCTAGGTTGTATTCAAAGTGTGAACTGTGAAGCTAGGGTTTAGGGTTTGTAACTTCGGATTGTAGAAAGAGAAATCTTGCCTTGCCTGGGGGATGAACTCGCAGCTTTATCGTGTTTGTGGAGAGGTGTCATTATGCCATCAATTTAACATGGGTGCGGTTGTATAGGGCCTAGGCTCTAAACAATCAAATTAGAGCCTACCTTCAAATAGTATCGATAAATGCGATTTTAATAAGGGAAATCTTTGTGATAGCCTTAAAATATATTTTTATATTTATTTATAAAGTTTAAAGTTTAAAAAATAGTGTAGATCGCCAGATCGATGAAAACTTGAAAATCTTGAAATTTGACGGTCCAAAAATGCATAACAAAGTGTACTATTTCCAAAACTTGAAATCCATTTTTTATCATGTCCATACATCTTGATATCGAGATGATGAATTTGAAGATATTTGAGCATCAAAAAAATATCTTCTAGCGAAATTTTTGAAGGTAGGCTCAAATGTGATTGATTAGAGCCTCAGCTCTGTATAAACTTTTCCCATTTAAAATTGACGCTCAATAATTACTAGTTTTATGTTTGGGTGCGGTTCGGATGAGGTTGCAAGTTTAAACAATTAAAATAAAGCGAGAAAATTATGTAAATATCAGTTATATTTTTCATTAACTATAAAAACACTTAAAACTTTTCGTTTTTACTCCTTCAACTTCATAACCCCTTCTTTTTTAAAAAAAAAAGACAAACTGTCCATTTTTTTATTTTTCAAAAACCAACATTTTTTTAATTTTGGATTTTTAAAAAATTGATTTTTTTTTTTTTAAAATCTCTCTCTCTTTTCCCCTTCACCCCACGGTTTTTGGATGCCGATCTCTATGGTGGGGGCAACAAATTTGAAGGCTATGAACTCTCAAATGAAGATGAGGAAGAAAACCAAAACGCACCATCTCCTTGAGCATAGCTGGAATTTAAGGCTGCACCATAGATTTTAAGCCCATTCCCAGTGATAAAGCAGTAACCAAGAAGGCAAAGACTTTTCGATTCGCTACAAATGTTTGATAAACTTTCCCTATTTAGATGAAGAGGAAGCCCAAGTAAAGAGGTTGCTGAGTTTTAGATGGCCTTGTGACATTAAAGAATATCCTCTCTATCTCCCCCACCATACAGAATCAGAAAACTCAGAGACCTGCAATTTTCTACGACTTGAAGAATCACTCTACTTTCTGTACTTCATCCAGTTCGTGTCACAATCTCTTGAAGATCCCTTGAAGAGGAAGCCATATCTCCTGTTCCTTCGGGTCAACAAAGTTTTAATCTTTGTTGTTCCCTGCAACATGAGCGTGCAGTCGAGTCGCTCACAAACTTGCTACATATACTGCCCCTAAATCTGTCTTAAATGGGACCAGTCTCAAGAGGCTCAAGAAAGTGTGGAAAAACCAAAAGTTTCAGATTGGGACGCACCCCATGCTACACCAGGGATTAGTCGATGGGACGCTACACCTCCTGGCCGAGCTGAAGCTCCAACTCCAGCTAGTTGGTCTAGGCAAAATTGATTTGATGGGATGAGACACCAACACCAGGAAGGTTGGCTAATTCCAATGCTACAACAGTTGGTGGTGTCATGCTTGGTGCTTTAGTTTGGGATGCATCTCCAAAGCTTTCGGGTATGGCTACCCAACACCCAAAAGGCAAAGGCTCCGTGGGGTGAAGGGTATATAGAGAGAAATTCAAAAACCCAAAAGAAAAAAAATCTGTTTTTCAAAAACTGAAATTAAAAAAATTTCGGTTTTTAAATAACAAAATATGGGCAATTCCATCTTTTTTTTAAAAAAATGTTATGAAGTTGAAAAAACGGACATCTTTATAATAGCAGAAAGTTTCAAGTATTTTCGTAATAACAGAAAATATAACGGATATTTATGTAATTTTTCCAAATAAGGCGCACCTCCAAATTTTATTATTAGATATAATTTTGGTGTAAAAAATCTTTTGAATGGTTAGAGAATTTATTTTTATCTCTAGTTATAAATTTAAAAATAGCTCCAATGAAATAAATTTATAAACATTTAAAAATAGACAGTACAGATAGTGTTTGCAAGATGCACTAATTTTGGGATTCGATTTTTTTTCATATTTATATATCTAGATGTCGAGATGATCAATTAGAAGGTTCTCCAACATCAAAACAATATTTTCTAATAAATTTTTGAAGTGCACCTTAATTTTTTTTACGTTTTAAAGTTGCAACTCACCTCAATTAGAGGGAAAGGCCCTCACACTTTCGATCCATAGAAAGAAACACGACACATGTTTTTCTTTCTTTTTTAAATAATACACCATTCCAAAAAAGAGAATTTATTATCTACGGTGAAAATAGTTATGGGCCAGCCAATACATCCAACATATCTCTAACTAGTCGTAGAAAATATACATTATGCACGCAATACACCCTCAAATCATATGCACCATGATAAATTTAAAGTCTTGAGAAAGTGAGAAATGCATATAGCAGAGCCTAAATGAAACTAACAGAACAGTATAACAAGAAATGGAGACCAACAATTAACTAATAGGATAAAAATCAACAATAACAACAGCGCTACTAATAAACCCCCCTCCCCAAATGAGTAACCATTTCTCTTTTAAATTGTTTCTTAGGGTTGGGTCCCTTGAGTTGCACTGCTGGTGCAACTTTCACTCATTCAAAAGAAAAAGATGATAGAGGTAGAACAAGACCTCCATGACAAGAATCTTTGCTTTTAACACATCACCATTGTCTCGGTGAACAGCGAAATCAGCCTTAGTATCTCCTGTAAAAGCTATCTCAGGGGAGAACACAGTATCTGTGATCTGAAAAAACATGAAACCCAGAAACCCAATTCATAAATACCACCACCTGGGGAAACAAAATGATAAAAAAAAACTCCCTTTTCTTTTCTTATATTATTTTCAAACATAACAAGATAGAAAATCACGCCACTTATTACTTTTAGCAAGTTTATTTCTCAAATGCCAGCCAAGACAGACCTCCATGCCTCTGAACTTCAACCCCTTAATGTCATTTCCAGAAAGACCAACATACTCCTCTCTCAGTTTTTGTTTCACAGAGTAAATAATGTACCCCGCGTGTTGTTCAAATAACACAATAATTAAGCATGAGAAGGGCATATAAAAGTATCTTGGGATTATAATAAAGAAAGAGTAAAATTAATCCAGACTATGAAAAAACAATGGTCCAATAGGCCATAACCATCCATGGAAACAATGGAAGGCAGAGAGAGAGTGGGACCCGCAAATGGAGTCTTATCCTGTTATGCTGAGTTCCAAACCCTCTCCAATGCCATCCACTGCAGTAATGGACAATGATGAGCCAATTGATTATGGTTCTTCAAAAGTTCACAGCAGAGTTTCAAAACCCGGATCAGTGGGGTGGATCGTCCACCTCATATATCCATGTCGGATAGGCAAAACGCCTAACCGCAGTGGTTTGGATCAGTCCGAATTGGTAATCCAAAAAAAAAAAAGAATAAGAATGGAAAATGGGGTTTATATGGGGGCCATTGCCCCACCACCCCAACCTTTTGGGGGGGGTGGGGAGAAGAAAATATGAATGGGTGTGCTTTGGGTGGGGACTGTGCCGGAACCAATACCTTCCCATAATCGGTCCAATCCCAGCCAATTCCCAGACAAGATCAGGGGTCCGGATCAAGAAGAAAGCCTTTTAAAACAATGGTTGATAGTATTAAAATATACAGTATAATTTCCAAGAAAATAAACCTTGAAGAAATCAGTCCTCTATTCTAACCTGGCTTGGTATGACATGGTAGGTCTTGAAAGCTCTAACCATAAGGTTCTTTCTAAACTCAAATTCTTCCCCTACAATCTGATATAATAAAATTTGTTAAAAAAATGCAGTATCAATAAATTAAGGTTTACAGGGTCAAGCTTGATGAAAAAAGACAATACTTTACCCACTCGCAGGCCTATTAGGGTGTGTTTAAGTTCTGAACCATCCATTTCTCTATGAACCTCGACCTGCTTTTTTATGGATGCTGGGACAATGATGGTTGGGGGCTCCATACGATTCCAGCGTCGAGTAGCAACATACATGGGAAGTCCACCCAGATAATAACAAGGGGTGCGAGAGAGAGACCAAATTAGTTGAAAAATGAGAGAACATCTCAAAGTCAACCACTGGTCGGAGCATATAGTAGAGCAACACTTAAGTACGGGAAAAGGAAGAAGACAAGTTACTTACACACTCTATACAGCAACACTCAGACCCCATCAATCCCACAATAATCAATAACCATAATGTTATGTTAGTTCCCCCTGAATATTTGCATTATAGTAAATTTTTCAGTTAAATGTCAACAATTCATGGATAAATAAACCCATTAAACTAAGTTGCCTATGCTAAACAATCCTTGTCAGAAACATCAATTTAAATAAATAAATGCACAGATTGTAAACAGAAGAAAACCATTAAATAAAGTTCTCCCTGCTATTATCCTTAACAGACAAATTCAATTAGCAAAGAATACACTATTTAATGCATGGTTAACTGTTGATAAAAAAGGGTATGGGCACAATAACCATGTAAATAATTTTAAATTTATCCTACCAATTCATCATAATCTCATCGCTAAACTTCAATAGTTATTGGCCAAAGAAGGTGAACAAGAGTAAAAAGAATTGCAGATAATTAGAATTTATATACTGACTATGTCATCCATGTCGCCATGGGTAATGAAGAGGAATCCTGATTAATTGCTCTATGAGGGAATATCAAATGCGAGCTCTAGAGTTGGAAACATGATGCAAGTCTCTTGCCCTCCAACGCCTTATATTGGATACCCCTTTATTTCAAGCATGAACTCGAAATACTAGTGCTCTTCTCTTTCTCGGTGCTGCAGGTCTCCATAATTCTAGGGTTTTCTCCATCTGCGTCGCCCTTGGTCCTTGAAATTCTAGGGTTTTCTCCATCTACATGAATCTTGGTCTCTGAAATTATGGGGTTCATGTACATGAGCTTTGTATTCTGCAATTTTAGGGTTTTCCTCGCCACTTCTTCCTCTCAGTTCTGATTTTGTAGGATTTTTCTTTGCCCTTTTAAGGTTTTTTTCAAGGTTGACAGTCAACCATTGATGCAGTTAAAACCAAACAACAAAAATTATGGAATTTTACGATACTTCGTTTATTAACGCGGGAAAAGAGGATAATTAATTTGTTCTTCACATAACAAATCACACTGCTACTTGATATTTCTATTCGATAATATCATGATAAGATGAATTTAACCACGAAAATAATCTTAATAAACAGCACTGTGAAGACTAATTTTAAAAAACAAAAAAAAGGAAAGAAAAAAAAAACTCAACCAAAAGATACCCTTCCGAATTAGTGACATGCTACTTATCTAAACAGTAGCAAAAATTCTATCATTTTAATATATTTTAGAATTTAAATTAATTTTTTTTAATGATTATTATACCATCTAAATCTGAATTTTGGTAAGTGAATTAAAACTTACTCAAATTTTTATCAAAATATCTGACAAGATCAACTTTTAAAGATTTAACTAAATAGTTGATGATTTGTGAGTTCTCTATCCTTCCTTTTTTTATGGATTTTTTTGGATTGTTTCAAGCCCTAAAATTTTCCATGATCCATCGTCTATGTACTTTTCTCCACATTTTGCAAACGTTTAATGTTGTTTATTACACTTTTTACTGATTTTTAATTATTCTGAGCACATTCGTTGTTTTTTCTTTTTTCTTAGTTTAATGGGGTAAAGGGGGCAATGTTTTAGCCCTTTTTTGACTCGTACATGACCCGGAGACTCGCTGGAGTTGCTTGGCTCAGGGCAGAGTCCGAGTCCCAAGCCCAAGCCTAGTTTCTGCACATTGCTTCAACCTACTCCACCCATGGAAACCCTCAAAACCCTGTTTCCAATACCTGTCCCCAATTAAGTTCCATTCTAGAACTTGATATTGTCAAATTCACAAACATACTGTGGATGTTCTTGCGACCTAGAAGCTCATGAACTTTAAATCATCATCATCATAGCCTTTTCCTAATTACGTGAACCCTAGATATTAAAAATAAAACCCACATTTCCAGACCTTCCACATTTCAAGACCTTCCATCCAGTTACAAACACCAATCTAATTGCAATTCCAATCAAAGATCCCTGAGAATTGCCAATCTGCTCAGTCGAACAGATCAAATCAAGGAGGGGCACAAGAATCAAATAACCAGACCTTTTGATTACACTTCGAAGAGGGATGAAAGCTAAAGATGGGTCACCATGCCCATGCCCTTTCCAATGAACTCTATTGGCACAATCTAGTATAGTAAGATAATGGATCTCACTAAAGAGGAAGACAAAGAACCACCATCAAATTTAAGGGGAAAAACCACTGTAAAAAATTGAAGGGGAAAAAACACTGATAAGTGTGCAGCACAGTATTTGCACAAGGAGTACATAATTATGAAGAAGAGAAAGGGGAAGAAACGAGTAAAAAAAGTGCAAGGACAATATAAAAGAAACAAAAATTTCGAAAGTGAATGATTTACAAGTAAATCTATTTTCTCCTCTAAAAAGAAAAAACCAGCTTTTTAAAACTCGGCCAGGTCAGCTTGAACTAAAACTCAGCCAGTTCAATTCGGACTTGGCCCCAGTATGGTGACCAAGGTGAGTTCAGCTATGGAGCCTTGGACTGAATAAAACTCAGCCAGGTCAATTCGGACTTGGCCCCAGCATGGTGACCAAGGTGAGTTGAGCTATGGAGCCTTGGACTGAATGCACTTGTATAGTACACAGACAGGATTCACACGAGTCCGAGTGGGCTTCGACTAACCTGACCCCAGCAGGAGTGCCAGCCCAAGCAAGTTTTTGCACTCTGAAAAAAGGTGATTGATTTACTCTTTTGGGGGTAAGAACATACATTGCAATGAAAACATACAACAGGAACCATCTAAGCATATCGAGTAGTATAACAAATTCCTGAAAACTGCAGCATCTATATGATAAAAAATCCATTGGTTCAAAATTTTGATTTCTTCTTCAATACATTTACCAGTGTCATAGTATGCAAGAACCGAACGCTTCAAAATAAAAAATAAAAAATACATTGGAAGCGAAAAATTCTTCTAGCCTATGTTGCCTTACCATGAGAAACTCATATAATTCTAACTTCCAAATGCATAAGCACTGCGATTATAGAGAAATAGTGGTTTCAACTTTCATCCATGAATCAGCTGCACTACCTGAGAATTTCTTCTTCATTTCTTCCACAATTGCCTTTGCCTCATCGACCTTAGAAATTTTCACCAATCCATCTATTAAACTCTTCATGGTAAAAAATGGCGGAATCCATTTCCTCTTAATACTCTTCTTGCACAACTCTAATGCAGTTTCATAATTGCCATGTTCAATCTCAAACTGGATCAGCATAAAATAGGTCCCTGAATTAGGGGACTCATCCCCCTTTGGAATGCTCTCGTAAACCCTTCTCGCCTCCTCCAAATTGCCCTCTTTATAAAACCCAAAAATCACTGCATTGTAACTGCGTGAGTTAGGCCTAATCCCTCTCGATCGCATCTCCTCGAGCAAAGCCTGAGCCTTAACACTCTCTTTGTCCTTGCAAAACCCTAAAATACGTAAATTATACGTAACAAGATCGGGTGCACACCCTTTCTCAGTCATCTCCTTCAATAATTCATCAACCCTGGTTTGATCTCCAGCTCGTAAGAACCCATCAATCAATGTGTTGTAACTAACGACATCCGGTTTGATCCCAATTTTTTCCATTTTTCCAAGCATTTCAAAAGCTGAATCAAGCAGATGTTCCTCACAAAAAGCCCTAATTATAATATCATAGGTGAAAACAGTTGGTGAAATGTCAAACTTATTGGGAATTTCATCGAACAGTCTGTGTACATCATCAAATCTCTTGTTCAATAACAGACCGGAGAGAGTTGCAGAGAATGATTTCTCAGAGCGAGGGCACTCAAGCTCATCCATCTCGTAGAACGTATCAAGAGCCTTATCCACCATTCCTGCTTCAGAATATAGCAAAATGAGCCGTATAATGAATCCCTCCATTAAAGAAAAGGGGGGCTTCTTATGGGACTCAAGCGCCTGCTCAATTAGGTCAAATCTCTCGTATCCAGCGAGCTTTTGCACAAAAGCTGAGAAAGCAGCGCGATCATGGCGAAAGCGAGGCGATTTCGAAGCTTTACGGAATACCTCAAAAGCTTCTTCAGGTGAGCCGGCTGATCTGATTCTGGACCTGGCATTTTTTAGTGTAATGTTGGTCTGCTCTTCTAAAATCAGGGTATCGGCTTCAGTTGCAGAGGGCGCTTGTTGTTCTAGGGTCAGGGATTCGGCTTCAGTTGCAGAGGGAGTTTGTTGTTGTAGGGTTGGGCTTCTGGTTTCAGTTGCAGAGAGAGCTTGTTGCTCTTGGGTTAGGGATTTGGTTGTTGCAAAGATGGTGTTTTCTAGAGTTAGGGTTTGAGCTTGCGCTGTTGCGTAGAGACTGCGAGTGATGGACAAGAAGCGGGATTTTTTAAAAGAAGCCATTGATTGATGGCTACGATTGAGCTGGAGATGCGATCACTGTAATTTGTGGTAGGGCCTTTTTTAGTTTCCATTTGCGGGAGAGGGAAGAGCATGTGCTCATAGAAAGTCGACATGAGCTTCACTGCCATCCAGTTGATCGATGGACGGTGATAGAGAGGGAACAATGCTACCATGTGGTGCCAGTAGAGTTAGCACTAGTGTTACATTGTGGTGGGTCCACTCTATCTCCATCTTCGTCCAACACTTTGATTGGCCGGTGATGAACCTTGTAACCAGCTGTTCATGTTGTCATTGTGGGTAGCTTGGGCTTCGATTCCTACTGTTGAAATACCAAAAACAAAAAACAATATTGTGGATCATTGCTTACTTTTCCTCGCAATTGATGAAAGAGTACAACAGTAGTCTTTTTTTTTTTTTTGAAACAACCCTTAACCAAATATGAAAATTTTGCATGCTCCTATAGGAGTATATGTAGTATGCCGGCACTGCGCCTAGGTCAGGTCAACCCTAGCCTGAGCCCACCCGTATCCCTGTGGGACTGGCCTACTCTTGGGCCCTAGCCCTGGCCCTGGCCCTGGCCTAATCTAGTTCAAGTCAGGCTTGATAGATTCTTTGAGGAATGGGAGACACTGGTAAGGCCATGGCTTGGCCTAATTAGGGCCTTGTTGGCCTAGCCGATGGGCCCTTGTCAAGTTCGGATTGATCAACCCATTGTCGACCTTGATGCCTCTATTGAACAAGATACTGATGAGGTAATGGTGCATTCCTGGACTCCCTTTTGTCTCCATCCAAAAATTCACCTTAGATATTCATCTTCGACCTCAAACACATCAT